TGTGTGTGTGTGTGTGTGTGTGTGTGTGTGTGTGTGTGTGTGTGTGTGTGTGTGTAAAACAATCTCTTCATGTATTTTGTATTATTCGCGTTATTAATTATGGTGAAGATTCTGCTTAGATTATTTCTTGTTTGCTTCTTTAGCCCTTGTGGCAAAAAACAAAAAGCAAAAACAAAAAAAAAGAAGTTTATTTCACCTGAAACAACAAATGTGGTTTTTATTTTGTTTCACTGTAACGGGAGTAAATCCCTTCATAGATTTTGCCATGTGTTGCATTTGAAAATTGTCACCGGTAAACTCTGATCATTGAGATCCTCTGTAGAAGGATTCTGACAGGAGATACTTGAATCATTTTCCACCCATACTTGTTTTTAAAAAATACTCTTGCAGAGATTACGTCACCTAAATTGGTGCAACCACATAAACAGCATTTTTAGCGTCACAGCCCGCTGCGTGTTTGCAGTTTTTCACCCCAAACCTGGTGAATATACCATGGGGGCTTACAAGTGGTCCGAGGGAGCCGCCCCACTGGTTTCTCCCTTTTTTTCCCTTCTTCTTCTTCTTCTTCTTTTTTTTTTTTTTTTTGTTAAACAAATTCAGGATGATTGCGGATGCATGGGGCCATTCCCGACTGGCTGGGGCCTGCTTTCAGAGAACCGCAGAGCCCCGCTGTTCCTTTATTATCATAAGCAGATTAGAGGTAGGGGGAACACACTCAGATGCAGATAACAGCCGAGCGGCCCATTTCAACCTTGCATTAGAATGGACCGAGCTGCATGTGTCGCCTCTCGCAGCCTTTTAAGCACAAGATGAATCTTATGTAAGGTTGCCGGGGGCCGGCATAATGAGTGCACGAGGGAAGGGGTGGGTGCGTGGGGGATCCGCTCCTCTATTTATTATCAAATGATTAAAAACAAAAACAACAGAAAAGCGTCATAATAAGGCCCGATATGTTGACTTTCAGTTGGAATTTCATCTGGTTGAAACGGAATTTTTTCAGGTGTCTGGACTTCATCTCTCTTTAATTATCGTGACTCTCTGGCTTTGCGATCCAGGCCAGGAGATGTGTGACAGGTGACTCGGGTTTTTCGGAGCTTTTTTATTACAATATATTCATTATATATTTTTTGTCTAAGGGCGGTTTTTGTGATAAAAAAAAACTGAGGTTTTTAGACTCTTCTTTTTTAAGCATTTCCTTGGCGTTGAACTGAACTTCTAACTCATCCTCTACTCCCCTCAAGTTTTGCAGTCGCGTGTAGGTCCCGTGTTCTCCACTAGGCGGCACTGGTGTCACGCAGCACAGAGGCTCTGGGCACCTCAAATGCAGTTTGAGCGCG